AAACTTCATTGACATATTGCAACACACCTTAGGGAGGAAACCAGAGATTGGTGCAGGCAGTGTTGGTACATTCCAATGACTCTCTGGCTAACTAACTTGTTCTGACTGATGAAGCTCCTTGGATGAGCAGCGAAACATCTGAAACTAACAAGAAAAATAAGTTCAGTTGCCATGACTCAACCTTCAGACATTTTGATATTGTGGTTACATGTTTTCTGAATCTCTCAGAGTACCAGATGTTGCTTTAAAATTATTTTGAATTATTGTTAGATTGTGTGTCAAATGGAGAACCATATAAATAAATAAAATGTTCAAATTACTTAACATTGAACTACAAAAATTAAATTAAGTGTACTAGATGTGCATTCAATCTAGTTTATATTTTGCTCCTCAATTGGAAATGAATTCTGCATTAGGGTAAAATAGCAAAGTTATTGATAAAAGATTATCTTCTAATATCTATCTCTAAATTTAGCAGTCAGTAACAAATTCCATGAGGGGGGAAAACTTGACTAAATCATGAGCTGCAAAAACTATCAGGCTTATACATTCTTCCTTTGTCAATTTCCTTCCATGCAGATAAAATTTTAGCTTATCATCTCAATCTAATCAACTAACTCTGTCTTATGTTAACTGTATCTTAAATCACATAATTTAAACTGAATGTTTATTAACCTTGTGTAGTATTAATTATTGTTTCGGAGCTGAACTTCTCAGAAAGTTGAAAATAAGTAAAAGCAAATCCAAGCTTCCTAATTACTTGGCAGTAAGACAAATAAATGTGCTAACCTAAGACCACTGCAATTTGTTAATACTCGCAAACATTGTATTCAATTATGCCCTAGCATGATATGTAAAAGAGCAGGTTACTAACAATATGTGATTGCATTCCCAAACTTACCTAGCAATTTGGCACTGGGGTACCATGTACTACAAAAACTTATCTAATCCCTTTTTAACTCACATTTATTATTTCCAACAGTCATGAATCACTCTTCTGCCACAGGCACACAATGCAATTTTTAGTGGACACCACAGATAGTGTTTCCTAGCAACAAGAATAGGCTCCACAGACAATTTTTAGAGTTCAATTAAAAAAGAAATCTCCCACACTGTTCACAGTTTATGCTGTCTATTTAAAATTTCAGTGGGAGTCCTCTGATTTTTACCCCGTAAGACAGAAAAAAAAATCATTCACAACTAAACTCCATTCATGATTTTGTGGGCCTATTTAAATTATAGTAAAGCTCTGTATGGCAAGAATTCAATGCTGATACTCCATTCTAATTGGCAGAATTTAATTTTAGTCAGTCTCTTCACATAATCCTACTCACATTTTCATTTTTTAAAAAAGAGGAAGAGAAATTGATACAAAAATAAAGAAAAGAAAATACTGGTATAATCCAGAACTGGACTATTTTACCCTTTACAGCCCAAAATAACTTTACAATAGTATGAATTAATAATTCAAGTATAATAAATTCTAATATCTTTATAAAGATCATAATAAATAAGTAAAGCCAAAACAAACTGCAGCCTATCTTTTCTTCCCAAGTATGTTTTTCTGACATAATTTTTTCTTAAAATTTCCTATTCAATTAAAATTGTATAGCCACCATACTTTTTTCAATATAGTATAATATTGTTAACAAAACAGTTTCAGCCTCCAAGTAATTTTCTTAATTGCTGTCTAGACTTCTCATATCGGAGATGAAACATAATGGGAAAATGTTTATATATGTCTGATTTAGGGATGTACATTGTTTATGTCCAAATCTGGAAATACAGCAATTGGTATTTTATGAATTATGTGTGTTTTTTATTCCAGATGCAAGCTGAAATGCAGCTGTTTTAGGCAAAACATTTTAGGTAATCCATTCTATTTTAGCAGTTAAGATTGGATATTGTGTCTTTCCAGGGCTCTACTGACAACTCATATTTTTGCAGCTCAAGAACTTCTTTTGAATCCCATATTTCCCATGACAAAAACATCCAAAAGAGGTGGGAGCTCTGTTTCTTCCAAAACACCAAATGTTTGGGGTTTTGTTTCTGCTTATTGGTGGGAACAATAGCTTTAGTTCTGTTGTATGCATTCCTAGTCTACAAATGTCTCCTCAAAGTCTTGGTAGTGTCATGAACAGATCAAGATAGCATTCCTGGGTAAGAGGGTAGAAGTGGCTTGCTACTGCTTCTTCTGAAAGGTTGACTTACTACCCTTTACTACACCTTTGGCATTCCTTGGCAGTATCCTCTTCAAGGCTTAATCAGGCTCAAGCCTATTCCATTTCCATATTTAGCTCTTAGCCATAGTCTTATTTTTCACAGAAGACTCTATGTGGCTCTATACTATGTCAAGATGTTCAGTTTAATTGGTGATGTCCTATTAATTCATTGTCTTTCTTTTTCTTTCTTTTTTTCTGTTTATTGGGGGATCCTTAGAAGAGATCCACTAAAAGGGGAAAAAATAATCCCTCTGTAGTTTACAACAAAAGGCACAACAACAAGAATTGGCCATAGCAATCTAAGATCACTACTCTTATTTTAAAAAATCTAGAAAATTCATTAAAGATACCCCATCCTGTATTATGGGCAAACATAAAGGACAATCAAAGTAGAACAGCTCTTAGCTCTTAAGTAAACATTAAGAGAAAGATTTAAAGTGTAAGGAATGTAGACACATCACAACTGGGGAAAATCATCTGTATTTGATTGGATTTTGATCAAAAATAAAAAGAATTGAAACATTGATGAGAAAACATTTCTTCTTTTAAATAAAAAAATCCCTTGTTTATTGAGCTTGCTGATTAAGTCTACATGTATCTACTACTATTTAGGCAGTTGCTTGGATGATCAACAGTTATGTCCCATATATATTTGTTGCTCTAGACCAGGGTGTCAAACTTGCTTTCATTAAGGGCTGCATGAGGGTTGTGTTTGACCAAGGGGGGGACATTGCCGAGGGGCGGGCATGGTCAGCTCGACGTCACTCATGTTGTGGTGGCCCGAGCGCTCTGCCAGAGAAGCGGGCTGGTCCTTCACTGTTTCCAGGGCAGCTCCGTGGGCCAGATCTAAGCACCCCGTGGGCCTTGAGTTTGACACTCCTGCTCTAGACCAGCTTTCCTCAACATTTATCTCATGGAATAGCTCTGAAATAATTCACAGGTCTTAGGGAACATAACAGTCACAAGAATGAACTTCACAATACAATTCACTTCTAACCTATAAAATCGATATTTTACAATATTTACAACAATAGCAACGTAGCTGGTGAGCATATCACTCACAGCACATGAAAATTCTTACCACTTCACGTTCTAGCATTGCAGAGATGGAAAGTTTTTTTAAAAGTTTATTTCTTGTGGAACCTTTAATGACCTCTTGTGGAACACAAGGGTTCTGTAGAACATCAGTTAAGAAAGACTGCTCTATGCAGTAACTTACTAAATTACTGCCCTTATTTATAAGCTCAGGAACATTAAACTGAGACTGATTTAGGAGCTGTTTGAAATCAAGTGCAAAGAATTACCAGACTGGAACCAGCAGCCCTTTTCCTGAGTTCATGTTCTGATGTACAGCCCCAGCAAATATGAAAATTTGAAACAATCTGTTCTCCCCTTTCAACTAATTTTATCTTTTTTGGATGTATTTGGGGAGGCTTTGCAGCAATATTGTGCAACCTGCTAGCCCCCCCCCTTTTTTTTTTTTTAATTTGATTTATATGCCGCCCTTCTCTGGAGACTCAGGGCGGCTTACAGTGCGTTAAGCAATAGCCTTCATACTTTTGTATATTTTATACAAAGTCAGTTTATTGCCCCCACAAACTGGGTCCTCAATTTACCTACCTTAGAAAGGATGGAAGGCTGAGTCAACCTTGAGCCTGGCAAGATTCGAACTTACTTTAATTGCAGACAGCTGGTGTTAAATTACAGTGCCTTGTCTGCAGAGCTATCCAGGCTCCTTGTGCCATGTTTCATTTATATTTGTATTGATTACTAAGATTGTGAGAGAGATAAATATATGCCAATCACGTTCTTCGAAAGATTCAACTGTATCATTCTGCTATTAACAGGATGAGTAATTACTCCATTATCATATTTGGAGGATATTAGAAACAGTAACATCAAACCTCTAGATGAAACAAAAACAGCAAAGGACTAAAAGAAACTGAACGGTTTTAACTGCCTCCTTGATGGAAGTGTAGCAAAGAAAAATCATCTGCTGGAAAATATTACTAAAGAGGCCCTGACATTGCTTCAGCTATTCTCCAGATAGCTGAATTGCTCCAGAGGGAAGGACTTGCATTTGTCCAATAAATTCAAACAAATCTGAATAAATTGTTACTTTATTGATGATAGCCAACGTACTAATATTTTTTTAGGATCCAATCTGAGTTGGTCATCAAGACCAGAGATTTTGTCTTCTGTGCTTTCAGACTCACGCTGGAGCCCATCTGCAGGGAACTTCTCTCTAATATTGTTTTTATACCTAAAACATTATTCAAAGGCCATTAGATAAAACAAGAAAAACTGACCCAATTTGGTACTGTTTTCTTGCTAAAGTAAGCATGGTGTCAGCTTTGGAAACCATATTAACACTGGAAGCTTCCACGCTGCCACCTTCTTGCGCTTGGGAAAGTAGGAGGGAGGATTTAGTAGAGTGATTGTAGTTAGACATAATAGCATTCTTCCCTTTGGTCAAGGTCATGGTGTTTCTGCATCTGGAGGAGGAGTGGTTGCAGTGATGGCTCAAGTTGGGACGGATGGTGATTGGGCCACGTGATGGACTGATGGGTACAGGGGCTGGATTTGGGATTTTGATTTACTGAGGGAAAACCCAGAACTCTCAGATTCGGGTTTTCCCAGATATAACAGTATACCTACTCTAATAAATGCAAGATTTGAGATGATGCCTGTCTCGGAGTTTTTGATTGGAGTTGGGTTGTTCTGGAATGCTGACACATGGATAGCATTTATTAGAATTTATACACTCAAGAACCTTACCTTCGGAGACTGTCTTTCTTCTCATCTCTTGTCAGGCAACTATCAAGGTGGTTATTTATATGTAGTTCTTGAACAGGAACCCCACAGACAGGACACTCCACTGAAATATATAAACTAGCCATATCAGATTATAAATTAAATTACAAAAACTTTCATTGGGGGAAGGGGGGATATTTGCAGCTATACAGTGTGCAGACATCTAGATGGATTTTTATCAAGCCAGTGTCCTCCAGAAGTGGTGTTAGAAGTTACAGTCGAACATATCCAGAAGACACTGGGTTTGTATTTATATAATTTCAAAGTTCGTCATCAAATGCTAATGAAGACAACATCTTCAAAAAAAAAGACATGACCCAATTTTTATAATGAAGCTAGTATGAACAGTTTCCCTGTATATTGTTATGTATTACTAAAAAGAACAATGCAAATAGATTTCTGCCAGCCTAAACAAAGTGAAATCGTTTTCTTGATTCTCAGTAAAAAAAAAAAAAAAACTAAGACTGAAATTGCTTATCTTGTAGCTGGGAACGATTACTACCCCATTCATTTTTTTATTATGAAGCAGAAGAAAGTGAAATGAAGGAATTTTTTTTCTTTCATGTATAGCTTTATTCTCTGTTTCCACATACTTACACTCATAAGTCAGCAAAATTTCAATGTCAACTCCATCTAAGCAATAATATTGCTAGAGCAAACATGGTATTCTAAATCAAGTTAGCAAAGATGCTGATGTAAGAATAAAGCAAGTATATTAAAGCTATCTTTGCATTTTATATCTTTGATTCAACTTGCAGTGCAGAGGTAGGAAAAATTCACAGTGTTACCTTTCCATAAATAAGTAATCATTAAATTAAAATTTCAATCTTTTAAGATGAACAAAAATAAAGTATGACAAATGTAAAAATTCCATCATAAATAATTTAAAACATGGTCTCATAATTTCCTATTGCTTTGGAAAAAGGAAGCCAGCTGAATAACAATTTCATTCAATTAGATGTTTATCAATTTTCACTGAGATTTTTAATATAAAACTACAGTACTGTATTGCTTTTTTCCAATGATAGTATTATTTCTTTTGTTAACATTCAAAAGAAAATAAATAAAAGCTCACAATTGGGTCCTAAAGATGATGATCATTCCTAATTCCTAGAATATTGAAATCAGAATTATAAAGTGATTTAGTCATCATGGCTACTAGGTGCAGATGGATGGATTTATACAACTCTTAAAAATCCAGCTAAATTAATAGCTTTGTCTGTACATTCAGGTGGTAATTTATGCAACCTCTCTGTGTTCATGCAGTCAGAAGAAAGCTCTTCTTTCTGCCTTACAATAATTACATCTTGCAGTATGAACAACTACAAATTGAAATGTACCCATGTCAAACAGCAGCATGTATAACAAGTCATCCTGATATCAAATAACAACATATGCATTCAGCCATCGAAAAATTATGTAATTTGTATCAATCATATCACAACATCTGACTCAAGTAGGCCATTATTTGCCCCCTCTCTGAGACACCCATGATGTCAAATCAAGATAATGAAAACTTTCTTTTTCATATATGTAGCTAAACCATAGCACTAAAATCTGTATAATAGATAAAACTTCCAATTCATCTAAAGCAGTGTTTCTTGAACCGTGGTCCTAAAACCCTTGGGGATCCTTCCAAAATACAAAATTATTTGCCAGCGCTATGTTAAAAAATAATACAATATTAAAATCCCATTAAACAATCATCAGAAGAGCTAATGGCAGGGAATGAATCAATTTTAATTTTTAATGTTGGTAAATATTAATAAATATAACCCATACAAGCAAAAGCTCTTGGGGGTTCCTCCATTAGCATTTAAAAATGGGAAAAGATCATGAGAGGAGGTAAAAACTGATCAAGGTAAAAGGCTTCTTCCTTCTTACCATGCTTCTAAAAAAAAGAGAAGAAACCCAGAGAAGCTAAAGTTATATGTGAAACATCCCAAAAGGTCATCCTATGCACACACAGATGATGCAAGGCTCCACAAATGAACCACTGGCAGAAAAAAGCAACATTTTAAAGTTTATTTTTTTAATATACTTTTAAATTCTTTATCATCTGGCAAGTGAACAATTTCCTGCCAATCAATTATGTTTGATATGTTCATTTTCATTGGGGGGGGAGGGGGGATCAAATCATCACCTAATATATGCTTGGCTTCTTCAAAAGGTTTTTCTATAAGCTATATTCAGGAAACAGCACATAGAAGGAATACTGAAAATATTGAAACATTTCATCTTCGACTTTTTTTTTAATATGGTAACACCATTTTATCTTTTGTATATGTTTTATAATTCCCAAAACTCACAATAATAGGATGGATAGACAATATGCTCATATGACAAATTATATTGCTCATATGTTTTTTTGGCCATTAGGGGGAAGATAGCTTTATGCATTTTACCTAATGTTATTACTGGTGTATTATTACTGTTTTACCTTTGGAGGATTAGATTAGGAACAGATTACATGGAGAAAATCTATCTATTTGATCATTAGGAATTGACAATTTGATGGCACATCATCAATTAATCAATGTGTAATGTTTTAATTTCTTTTTCTGTTTGTTTTATTACTTATCCTATAGTATGTATTCTGAAGTCCTTTCATCTAACTGGTCAGAAGTAAAATAAATAAGCAAACAGGTTTCATTTATAATTGGCATATTAGTGGCTATTTACTTTATATATGAGGTAAGAAATCTAGAGAAATGTAAGTACTAATAGTCTTCTAGTTTCTTAACCTTGTGAACTTTAAGATGTGTAGACTTTGATTCCCAGAATTCCCCATCCGGCATTCTAGAGTGGCTTGGGAATTCTGGGAGTTTTTACACATCTTAAAGTTCCCAAAGTTGAGAAACACGGCTCAAGTGTTTCATTCATTTCATCCACCCCCTGAAGAGAAGCTTATTATATGCAGCAGTGAACATCTAAGCTAACACAAAAATACCCACAGTTAACATTAGTGTAGAAGCAACAGTATGAATAAAATAAACTGATATGTTAATATAAAGATGAAAATAATCGGAATCAACTATGTGACATTAACTAGCAAGAGTATAGAAAAATGAACATGCAATTTTGATGTATACAGCAAGTTGCCTTACCTTTTGTGACAAATTTTGTTGCAGACGTGGAAGGCATTTCAGAGTTTCTGATGCTTCCAGTGGGAGCTGTATTTGCTACTTCTTTACCACCTGCCTCATAACTTTCTTCTGAGCTACAGGGGTTTTCTTCTTGCTTTATTTTAATAATTTTGTCTTTGTCAGCTGATATTAAATGTCTATTTTCATTGACTGGAAAGGTATCTGCACATTGCTTTTTCCGTTTTAAAAACAATCCATCTGGAGAGTTCAAAATGTGACCTTGGAGAGGAGCTTTCTTAGGTAACAGAGTTGGAGAAGAAATTGATGGAGAATCCAAAACTGCCTGGAACAGTCGCTGTCTAGGAACAAAATACAGAGCTAGATCAATTTACAAAACTATTATGCCTTTTCTTTCTCAGGATTCTTTTCAACATTTGAAAGGGAACAATAGCTAAAACCCAAGCATGCTGCCTTCTGGCTGAAGTCCTGCTGAAGATTAAGTGAAAGGATAATTAATGTAAGCATCCACAATCAACTGAATATTTATCCCCTTATTTGTAACTAGCATTGGGAGCTGAGATACAAACCCCCTAAACTGCCTACTATTTATTTATATAAAGAGAAGGAAAACTCATCAGTTATCCAGGAATTCTGCCACATTTTTAGAAGACAGAGTTTGACTACTCTAAATTCAGATCACTTGATGGAGTCGTTGAAATTAGAAAAGTGTGGGGTGAGTGAGAGGAGAAAAGAAGAATTAAATAGCTGAGTCCCATAGCAGTTTTTTCACAATCAACAATTTTAGTACAATATTTTGACACTAGTAAAGTGTACTTTTAATTCCAGAATTTCTATCACATAATATACTTTATTTTCTTCTACAGACGGTAACTCAACTTCTGTCCTTCTTTTTAATGCATTTCCCCAAAATATATTTCAAACAATAAATACTGATCAGTTAATTTAGTATATTTTCAAAACATTTAACACAGCACATCAGTTATTGGTTGAATATCTACAACTTTATTTTTGCTATGCATTTCTCCTACGCATATCCCAGTACAATATAATTAGCCATAATCCTCTAATTATGGTAGGACTCTAAGCTCAAGAAATAATTACCATAATATAAAAACAGTCAGTTTTGTTTAAGGCTGATAGGAAAAGTTTGTACCTACAATTTTGTGTAATTTATGAACAGATGTAAAGAAGCTACAGAACACACAAGGGCAGAGAAAGACAAAATCCTTAGAGGAGAATCTGCATATATTTTAGGATGCACATAGCCTGTGGCCTATGTGTTTAACACTTAATAAATAAACCTCTTATGAAAGATTTGGGCCACAAAATTCCTCTTAGGATGGTATGTTACATATTAATTTGAAGACTGCTGCAATTAATATTACTGAAAGTTGATTACAGATGCAAATGATAACAAATTCAGAACATTTTGCTATAAAATGAATGCAACATTAAAAAATAATTGACACTCTATAAAATTTCCACTCCCCAAACAGATCTAAAACTTTTATGAAGCTATTATCAATGCTCATTCAGACATAATGGAGTGAATTCATTGCAAAATGCTCAACCCAAGTATTAGTGACATAATAAAAGTACTTTTTGCAAAAGTTCAAAAAACTATTACTGAACTTTAAAAGTTATTAAGAGTCATACAGTAATACTTCTTATTGCCTAGTTACAATAAGCCAACTGGTGACATCTAGTGGACACATACTAGGTGCAATTAATAAGACCTCATAATAAACCCCAAAAGTAAAAAAAAGTTAAGTCATAAAAGTAATTTTTGTGAATGCAATGTTATTTGACATGTTCAATTGGTCAAATTAAACAAAAAATAAAAATAATACAGATCTTTTATGGCATTTACCAGAGCAGATGTCAAAATCTTCTAAGACACATAGCAATCACTGCCATCTTTTATCTTTTCCTCCTAGACAGGAGGCAGAAAAGGTATCTTCAGCTCATAAGGCCATGGATCAGTGGTGAAATCCAATTTTTTTTACTACCGGTTCTGTGGGTGTGGCTTGGTGGGCATGATATGGCTTGGTGGGTGTGGCTTGGTGGGTATAGCAGGGGAAGGATATTGCAAAATCTCCATTCCTACCCCACTCCAGGGGCAGGATATTGCAAAATCTCCATTCCCACCCCACTCTGGGGCCAGACAGAGGTGGCATTTGCTGTTTCTCCTAACTACTCAAACTTTCCGCTACCAGTTCTCCAGAACCTGTCAGAACCTGCTGGATTTCACCCCTGCCATGGATCCATAAATATGTAAGCGATGAAAATGTTCTATTGAGCCAAAATATAATTTTCACCCATGAAAATATACCACAACCTTCAGAAAAACCAATTACAAATTTAATTTATAAAAACAAAACTTTTGACTACCAATGGCTCAAATCCACCTAATCCACAGTTCTGTTATAGCCAGGATAGTAAAAACGGTGCTCCTTTCACTGAATTACTTCCCTAGAAAAGTAACGGCTAGTGATATTCAATGTCTACTTGTAACCGCTAGGTGAGGTTATTTGGTAGCACAGGTCAGATGTGATCAGTACAACAGATGATACTCTTATGGCAAGGCTCAGGTCCTCTTGCAGAATCTGGAGGTTGTTGGAGTCTCCATGGAGAACAAATTGAGGCTCAACCCTAGTGAGACTGAGTGGCTATGAGTATGTGTCTTCCAACTATAGGAATGAATAAGAAGCACTCTCCCGGGCAAATTTGGCACATGGTTTGGAGGACTTCCAGCTCCTGCTTAAAGAACATGAAAAACAGAACAAAACAGGACAACAGAGCTGGAAGGGATCTTGGAGGTCTTCCAGTCCAACCCCTCGCTCAGGCAGAAAACCCTATATACCATTTCAGATAAACTGTTGTCCAATCTCTTCTTAAAAACTTCCAGTGTTGGACCATTCACAACTTCTGGAAGCAAGTTATTTCACTGATTAATTGATCTGTCAGAAAATGTCTTCCTAGTTCTAGGTTGCTTCTATCCTTGATTAGTTTCCATCCATTGCTTCTTGACCTGTCCTCGGGTGCTTTGGAGAATAGCTTGACTCCCTTTTCTTTGTGGAAACCCCTGAGATATTGGAACACTGCTATCATGTCTCCTCTTCATTAAACTAAACATACACAGTTCCAGCAACCATTCTTCATATGTTTTAGCCTCCAGTCCCCTAATAATCTTTGTTGCTCTTCTCTGCACTCTTTCTAGAGTCACAACATTTTTTTTTTTACATCGTGGTGACATGCAGCAAGCATCTGGGAGGCCTTGCATAGATTTGTGTGCCAACTATGTCAATTCCTGGATGAGAAGGCCTTTTTCAGTCACCTCACGTCTGTATTACTGCAATATGCATTACATGGGGCTGCCCTTAAAGATTTATGTGGAAGTTACAGCTGATCCACAATGTAGTAGTGTAATTAGTTATGGATGCAACTCAGTCTGCCTTTGTAACATTGCTGCTCTGATCAGTTTCAGGATTAGCTTCCAGGTGCAAATCAAGGTGCTGATGATCATCTATAAAGATCTTCAGGGCACAAGACAGGGACATTTGTCTTCTCTGTTGTTGTATCTGCCATTTGGAATAGTATATCCCCATATAACCCAATCACTGTAACTTCTAAGAAGATACTAAAGATTTGGTTTTTTTCCTAGGTTCTGGATTAGGATGGGTTATGGCCCAGACAAACACTGGGTATGTTTGGTGACTGGTTTTTCGCCTCAGCATAGTCGTCATTTTGAAGTAGGCATCCTTAGAAATCTCATAAATAAATAAATACATACACACATAAATACATACATACATACATACAGTTCATAATTATGCAAAGTCCACCAAGCAAATGGAAAACAAATCTCTTTCAACTTGCTAGATGGATCAGTGGGAAAATGAAATGCTGAGATTCCAATATCTTCTCATCTGTTTCACATATGCATCCATTTTTTAATAGTCCCAAAGGTGCTTTTTCAAGAGGCAACTGGACTTTCTTGCTTTACTTTGAATTCAAAGAGAAACAAGAAAGTCCAGCTGCCTCTTGAAAAAGCACCTTTGGGACAACTATGACATGGATGACTGAGAATCTCCATAGCCCTGTTTTTTTATACATGATTATATCATGGCACGCTCCTCAGAATGCAAACATGTGAACAGTCCCAAGATGTGTCTAAACTGTACTATTTATGCCAGAATTTAGCCAAGGATACCTTATTGGACAGCTATTGATTTGGTTCTTCTCCAAGTCAAAAACATGTAGATTATCTGACCTCCCTGACACGTAAGATTTATACATATCCATTAAAGAAATCAAAAATGGTGAAATATTATAATCCAATATCAAATTGGATGAGAACAGGACTACTTGACCTTAGCAATATTAGACAAAGCTTTAGACGATAAAAGTTCCAATAAATCATTTGTCACTCAGACAACTTAGAACAAAGTACGAACTAAAATATTTATGTTGTGGGATTTAAAACATTATTTTCTAAATTAACATTGATTTTCAAGAACAAGAAGCATTCTGAGTTAAACACAATTTTGTCACATTTAAAGCAAGCTTCCCATATACTTTCTAAATATAAGCATAATTAAACAAATATATGAAACGTAAATAGTTCAAAAGGATGAGAAGAAAACTACTAATGGATAAATGCAGTAATATAATGCCTTTAAAATGTTAACCATTTATAACCACATGAATTATGAAAGATTGTTAATATATTAATGCCAACTCAGTATATGCATGCCTGTGTCTCTTTATCTAACCATCTATAATTTATATTATATTGAACCTTCCAGAAACTCTAGGCGGTTTACAAAAATCTTGGTAAATATTAGAAATCTGAGTTATAAGCAAACTTCTAATGACCTTGCAGAAGCCATAATTGCTGTTTGAACAAAAATATAATATTATTCAGTGATGACTAGCTTTTGGAAAAATGCTATTAAAGAAGAAGCAAGTGGAGATCATTCTAAAGTATGAAGGATATTCAGTAATAATAATAATAAAAACACCTCTTAGTATTAATTAAATTTTGGTTGGAAGAAGGAATTCTGTTAACACTTTAGGCCCAAGTCCTGTAGGGCAGGGGTGTCAAACTAGATTTCTTCGAGGGCCAGATCAGCATTGTAGTTTTCCTCCATGGGGCGAGGGGGCTGACAGATGCCTACTGCAGCATTCTGCCACCCGAAAACGGGCCGTGCAGCCCTTTTTGGCCTGTTTTCCGTGAGTTTTTCGGCCTGTTTTCCACACCCGTTCTTGGGTGTGTTCAGCCCGTTTTCAGCCAGCAGAGTGCTGCAGGAGGCCATGGAGGCTGAAAACGAGGCAT